AGAAAGGCAGTAGTAGTGAACTAATGGCAAATTAAAACATTCATTGATAAAAAGTAAGGGTTTCGAAGAAAAACCAACCATCGCTCACTACTTGTGTGACGTAGTAATTGTCCGGATTGTCAGTGATGTGGAAGCGTCGCAGAGCAGTATCCTTCAACAAATTTCGTTCAGCAGTGTCAGTACAATACTCTTCAGATCAATGGAATGAGGGCCCCTATTTTGCCCGTCACTTTCGGGCGAAGTGTGGGCAATCAAGCGGGGCTCTCCCTTCACCAGCATCTTTAGCTTTACTTTTGAGCTTCATTACAGTGACTTGGCTATGTCATGTATGCTAAGGTAGCGCACTGCTCAGAAATCGTCCATAAAAGGAGCCGTGGTCTAAGCCCCGATGACTCAGAGGAATGATGTTATTCCGCTTAGGCAAAAAAAACCGTTTCTCCAGCCAGAATCGGCCGAAAGATCCATTTTTCGAACGCCCCGCGCCGGGAACAACCTGCAGCAGAGTGATAGTTGATCGGATGCCGGCTTTTACCCCTCCCGTTCGACAGCTATTAATATTGGGACGAGTCGCAGTGTAGAGATGTTTCCTCAGCGCCTGGTGTGCTCTGAAAGCACGGGACAAGGTTTTGGTGCTATAGTGATGGAATGAGGCACCGTTGCGTTTTCAACCAATAGTGGTCAGTCCAGGTAGAAAACAACAAATAGTAGGGAACGCCGCGGGTGGGCAGCCGTTCCATGCCTCCTGACACCGCCCCGACTGTCTGCGGCGATATCAAGTATACCTCTGATCCTGTAAAGATCCTGTTAAAGTAAAATGGTAAGGGTAGAAACGACTGGACAACTTGAGGAGTGTCTCTATCTAAAGGAATAAAGGCTTACACGAATCTGTTGAACAGTAGCAGTTTTAGGGACGCTGGCGGTTCTGCAGACTTGTGCACGAAGTGACGAATTACCGTCGAAAACTCGGAGTATTTCCGTGTCTTCTCGTTCTTTCATATCTTCACCCGATGATGACACATCATCCGCTTGAATTTTTGATGGTGAAGATACTGAAATGTTCACTTAAAGCACATGTTGTTGGGATATCAGCACACGGCAAACAAGCAGCCATTTGTCTACGGGGAACAGTCTAATCTAAGTTTCTAATGCTCTTGCAGGACTGATTTGTCAAGGTTGGTAGGATTGACGGCCCTAACTGGTATTGCGTCGAACGCTGATAAAACACCTTTTACACGGACATAATTGCATTCAAAACCAACTTAACCATGCGTTCAAACAAAAATTAACATAAAAGGAGGGAAAGAGGTGCGACGAAAACACAGAGAATTGCTTTGTACTCCGAAAATCACTAATCGTTCTAAGCGACACTTGCCACCCCATATCCCAAGGAGTTGGAGAGCTGACTGCGATCATCACTTGAACATGGCGCAGGATGCACTTCTCGTGAGTCTTCTCATTTGAGGCAAGCTGTCATTCCTGTCTTGCGCTAGACAAAGGAACTTCATTACAATCGTACCCAAACGACAAAATCTCACCAAAAGCGCGGTCGCCGCTAGGACCAAATATAGTACGCAGCCACGCCCTCGTCGTCTCCGGGATATGGACTGTGAATGATCCATGGCTTACTCTTACACCGTTCGTATTGACTGAATTGGGCTGTTAGGGTTTGAGCGTTGCACCAATATTCGCCCTTCTGCAAGAATTCCTTCAGCTAAAGACTGATGGGCCTGTGCAACGACGGGTTAACAGCCCGACATTCCACTCAGTGATGTAGACCAGAAGTTCCACATTTCAGGGCACAACGTTGCGATGGTGATTATGGGAGAGTCAGTTCAACATCCCCTCCCCCCTTGCCACCTGCAAAAAATAGGAATCGACAAGCATAGGCGCACTTAAGACTTCCCCAACTTGCAACGGCCACAA